CTTGTGCGATCAATTCCATACTTAAAGAACTGGAATTTAAAGAGGCTATTGTAGATCGAGATAATGCGTCTGCTATAATGTTCTCTTGTCCCTTAATATATCGGATGTCTGTGGAGAACTGGGCGATATAATCGAGATGTCTGATTTCTCGTGGACCATATTTATCTACATGTGTATGTAGTGCATATGTTAATGGTTTGTGATCTGTATAAATGCAAAAATTTCTTCCTTCCAGCAAATGTTTAAAATGTTTAATTGCAAGGTAAATTGCTAGAAGCTCCCTTGAAAAGGTGCTGTATTTCGTCTGTGTCTTGCTTAGCTTAGCAGAAAAAAATGATATAGGCGTCATTGTGTTGTTAGCAATTTGGTGTATGACTGCTCCTACAGCTATTTCAGATGCATCTGTTGTAAGCGTGAGTTTTGTGTCCTCACTGTCCGTTACGTAGTTTAGTTTTGTAAAGTTGGCCAAAGCAGTTTTAGCTTGTTTGAAGGCTTCTAGGCTAGGCCCTTCTAACTTTAACTGTTGGTTCTTTGTTTTGTTTTGTAACAAATCTGTTAACGGTGCAAGTAATGTAGAACAGTTAGGTAAAAATCGTCTGTAATAGTTAATCACGCCTATGAATCTGCGTACTTGTCTGACTGATGTTGGTTGTGGGAAATTTGAAATTGCACTTACTTTCTCGGGTAGTGGAGATATTCCGTCCTTGTCAATTAAGTGTCCGAGGAAATTAACCTTTGGTTGGCTGAAAATGCATTTCTCTGTATTTATTTTCAGACCGTAATGTGATATTCTTTCAAATGTTTGCTCTAAGTGCTGTCTGTGCTCGTCGAGGTTTCTGCTGGCGATTAAAACGTCATCCACATATGCAAATATAAATGGCAGACCTCTAAAAACTTCGTCTATTAACCTCTGGAAGGTTTGACAGGCGTTCCTAAGCCCGAAAGGCATCCTTACGAACTCGTAAAGGCCAAATGGTGTGGTCAGTGCAGTTTTATGAATGTCCTCTTCTGCCACTGGAACTTGGTAGTACGCCTTTACAAGATCCAATTTGGAAAATATGGTGGCGCCTTGTAGACCGATGGCGAAATCGTGGATATGTGGAATAGAGTATCTATCCGGGACCGTTTTAGCATTTAATCTTCTAAAATCGCCACAAGGACGCCATGTTGTAGCGTCGGACTTTTGCACCATGTGTAGCGGTGAAGACCAAGCACTTTTCGAGGGTCGGATGATCCCTTGCTGTAATAAATGTTGAAACTCGTTTTTCGCAATCTTATACTTGTCCGGTTTCAATCGTCTGGGGGTGGCATAGACAGGTTGTCCAGTTGTCTTGATGTGGTGCTTGGCATTATGTTTTATGGTGTCTGTGTTTTTAAATGGCTGGGAGAGTTGTGGATATTTTTTAGTAGCTGACGGATGTATTGGTCCTCGGGTAAGGCAGAACTGATTCCAGTAGACTGGTATTTCGAGGTGAGTCCTCTTACTGAAATCTTGGTTTGATTATCCACCAGTGTGCGATTAGTCATGTCGACAGACAGGTTGAATCTGGCTAAAAAATCTGCCCCCAATATAGGCGTTGTTACACTGGCTATGGTAAAATTCCAGAAAAAATTCCGTCGCATGCCGAGATTGATATTGAGCGATTTCTCTCCGTAAGTTGGTATTTTGGTACCGTTAGCTGCTTGAAGATGATAAGACTGTGGCATAGTCTCCTGATTTTGTGTTGGTGGTATCACGCTTATTTCAGCTCCGGTGTCTATTAAAAAGTTATATCCATTAATTTTGTCGCGGATATAAAACAGACGACCTTTTGTTAAAAATCCAGCAACAGCCGTCGTCTCTACTGGCTGGAATTTCCGTTTCCCGCATTCGCGTTGTTGAAAGAACAAGGATGTGTACAACGTCTCGCCTCAGGACCAAACCTTTTGTGGTAGTAACAAATTTCATCTTTTCGATTGCGGTTGTCAGTCCGGCCTCTGCTGAAACTTCGCTTTCTGTAGCCTGGACATTTATCGCGGCGGTACTGTCGGTCTTTTGCAGTAAGCCTTGTAATTGTATAGACAACCTTTCTACAGTAGACTTGAGGTCGTTAAATTCCCTGTCTCTTTGTTGGGCTGGTTGTGGTTGGATAGAGTTTACCCTGGGGCTTCGAAAACTTTCATGGATCCGATCTGCAATGTCCGCGAGTTTTTCTGTCTGCGTTTCCTCCGTCATGGGTGCGAGGATTTGTGTTGTTGTAGTGGGTAACTTGTCCAGCCATAAGCTCCGCATAATGTTCTCGGACATTTTGTTGTCACCCAGTAAGGTTCGCATGTGCCTCAATAACTGCGATGGGGTGCGGTCTCCTAATTCAACCTGAGTGAAAAGGTTGCGTAGCATGGCTTCGTTCGAGGCACCGGTCCGTTTTAAAATTGCTTCCTTGAGTCTATCGTACGGGTTGTCATCCGGGACATTTTCCAGTAAATCCATTACTTCCTCGACGATGTCTGCTGGCAGTTTTTCCACTAAGTAACAATACCGGGGTTCTCTGGGAGGTGATTCGCTTCGCATCAAATAATGCCTGGATTTGAACGAACCAGGACTTAGTGTTAGTCGTGTTGAAAGCCGGGATATTCAACGATAGTGTGGCGAGAGGGGTTTCGAAGATTGTGATTCCATTGTGTCCTTCCTCTTCGTTTTGTTTGTTTTTTTAAATGTAGTGTCTCACGTCGGTCACCAATTTGTAGAGGGTGCAAAGAAGTCCCTCAAACAAATAATAAAAAGAAAATACACTACAAATAAAGTAAAATAAACTTTTGTTTATTTTTGTAAAGAATTATTTTTTATCTTGTACAAAAATGAAATTGTCCGTAAAGCTGCGGAAGAAAAAGAGAAAGAAAGGAACTGGGAATGTGAGAGGGAAAGGTAGGACTATGTGTAGCGAGCGAGATGAGAGAAAGAGAGGGTGAAAGAATGTTCACTGATACGTGATATTGCCTGTTGTGTGAACCGCTGAATCCTCTCGGTGTGTGTGTGCTCGAAACTGTCCGTGTCGCTTTGATTGTCAGCTTGTCGCTGTTCTCTCTCCCTTCTGATGAGAGTTTCTACCTTCCTTATATAAGAATGATGAGGCTCCGGGGAGATTAAGAAATGGGTTTCTTATGTCGAGTCCTGATTGGTCAATAAATCCTATTTTTTGACCACGTGGTGTCTTTTCACTACGTCCGAACTTTTGGGTGCGCCGTCCTGTTTTTTGACCCCACAGGGCATGGTAAGGAATGAATTCCCGCGCAATTGTATTTTTTTTTTGAATTAATTTTACATGTGGTGAAAATAAAATGAATTAAGGTTTTTTATTCAAACGAACCTATGCCAAACGTTTGACAATATTTGCTTTATGTGACAACATTGGAGGTTTGGTACCAAATTCGAAAACGTTATGTGGTTTAAGATATAGCCTGGATTATTTTAAATTTTAATTCCTGAAGAGTGAGAAACTTCTAAAAGACACAAAACCATCCCACAGACGTGCTGTGGCCTCCCTCTGTCTCTTCTACAAATATGTTCACGGCAACTGTTCCGACGAGCTACTTTTTCTGGTTCCCGGACTACATAAATTTAAACGTGCTACCGGGCTGGCATCTCGGCCCCACCCTTCACACTGTCAAAACGGTTAAATATAACCGTTTCTTCTTTTCAAACAGCCTCTTTTCCCACACTTCCCGTCAGTGGAACTCCCTTCCCCTTACTTCCTTCCTTCTTCGATGACTATAATCTTCAAATATTCAAGCGCAATGTCAATCGACATCTAACACCCTGAGCCTGTTCCCCGTCCTTCTCTGTATCCTTTCCTCAAACACGCCTCTTTAATCTTGTTCTCAATCCTCTGTAACTCTTTGCGTGCTAGTGGCACTCCGCCTTGCTTGGGGTGAATTGCATAAAAAAATTTCCCAAAACATATTGAATAAAGAAAGAGTTGATGATTTTATTATTTTATGGAGATAACAATGATTTTTCTAGTTACAAGTCATATTATTTAACCCTTATCTGGGAGATAGATTTCCCAACAATAATATAACGAACTCAACTGGAATTTGAACTCAGCTCTATGATTTCTCATTCCAAGCCGCTATTCTTTACACCATCTTCACACCCAGTTGGTGATGGGTACTCAATCAAAGATAAAAAAAAAAATGTTTATTATTTTGAAATAATAAAATTCAAGTGGTTACCAGGAAATTGGCACATGGGTGACTAGTCAAAATACGTGAGACACCATTGGGTACCAGCATTTTAGTACCTGGGTACTTACTGAAATATCAAAACTAAGCTGACACCACTCACCAGTTATAGGTCCAGTATCTTACTTAGTACGCCTGAGTGCGACTACTTTATTTATTTAAATGTTGACTGATTCATTTTATATGGCTTATAAACTCTTGCAAGTTATTTAAAACCAGAAAATATTTTTAGATTGTAAGAATTGGGATGGGGGAGATAATGATATAAGTGTTTGTCTATATTTCTGAGATGAAGCATTGTAATAATTTACATTATTTACATTGTTTGGACTATTGTCTTCATCTTTATTGTCATATTCACGATGTTTCGGCCGTTGTACGCTCCGGCTTTCTTCAGGTGATTTGAATTTCAAACTGAACCCTGTTCTAGTTTCACATGCCATGACTGTTCCGGATGTTTCAGTTATCTCCCTTTAAGCTTTTGTTCACCAGTGCCGTAGCCAGGTATTGAACTCACAACTCTTTGGGTCAAGTCACTAGATCCAACCAATAATTTTATCCACTGGGCCTGACAATAGAGATAAGGACAACAGTCTGAATAATGTAAATAATGTAAATGATAGAAGTGTTATTAATTAACCCATAGCTGGGGAAAGAAGAGGTGAATTCATACCTTTCTTGTACATAAGTGAATATAACGAACGCAATGCACATTGGAACTCAGCTCTCCAATTAACAATTCAGAGACATTATTCATTACACCACATGGGCATCCATGCTAACAGCACTTGGTATTCCCAAACAGTCAGCTATCGAGGTACTGACTAGGCTTGATGTTGCTTAACTTCAGTGATCATATGTGAAATGGTGTTTCAATATGATGTGGCTGTAAGCCTTATTTGCTTAAAGGGTTGATCCAAATATACTAGCTGCTTAATTCATCCTCCTAACACAGGCAATATTGGACAGGAGAAAAACGACCAATGTTCAATGTGGGTGGTGTTTGACTCAAATAGCTTGAAAATGCTTTACTACAGGTGTATGGAAATATCATATTTGCAGACAGGTTGGAGGTAACATGAAATTTCCTTGAAAGTACAATTTTATTCAGGGTATCTTGGATTTTGATACTGGTGCCCTGCTGATGACAATAGTAGATCAGTAAACAAAAGAAGATTAATGAAAAGTAACATTGAATTCAGTCTCAAGGAAGAGAAACATAAATAAAAGCAAAGAATAAAAAGAATGTAATTTTGAATTTAAACCTGGGTAGGTCAACTGATAAAACAATTTCTATTTTTTCAGTTTCTAGGAAGGTCACAAGGCATGATAAGAGTATCATTTTTGGAGTTCACACCCAGGGGAAGTCACTTGACAAATCAATGTAGATAATAATAATAATAATAATAATTCTCATGAGTACACTATACCTTACAAAGGGCTTTATCTATGTAAAATATGTGTTCTATTTTTGTTTTTTAGAAAATTGCTCAGTGGAAAATGTCATGATGCCATTTCTGGCCTTAGGTCTCTGGTCGGGACCCCAGAAAGAAATGAGTACACACCAGAAATCAAAGTAAATAAAATAATAATAATAATAATAATATTGCTTTTTGTTGACACCCAAGGAAGGACACTTGATAAAACAAGGGATGTCGAGAATATAATTTTGAGTTCAATCTTCATGGTTGTATGTAGGTCAGAGTTTATGTATGCTTAAAGAATCCAGAAAAATATATCAGCCAAGATGCTGTGCTGAAATCAACAATGACAAGAATTTTTATTCTCCCCCTCCACATTGAACAGACACAAAAATGACAGTTAATAATAACAAGACTATCTGGGTGTTGAAAGCCAAATTTAACAGGAGTGGTGTAATAGAAATAACATACTAGTAAACATATAGAAAAAACGTCCATGATTTATAATTGATATATACCAAGAATGGAGGGGACTGCTTCTTTTTTTTTTTTTTACACTGCTGTTCATCCAATACAAGGTCCATTCAAGGTAAACTGTTACTGAATAGTATTTTTTCTGGACATATGAATTGTAGATTATGAGGATAAGAAGAACCAACTTCAGGAATTTAGGCACAGTACTGAATTGGCAGTTAGGTCCCACCATTTTACTGTTGAGATAGCTAGATGTAACCTTAAGTTTTATTCTAATAGTTTCTTCTCTCACTTGTGGAGCTATCCTCCAGTTTCTTTCTTTACCTACCAATCTACAATCTTCAAAAGTTTCAATGTGATATCAGTCGTCATATTCTGTCTTCTAGAGCCCTGGTCCTTTAACATTCTCTCTCTCCACAATCTTTCCTCAGTTTCTTTCTCTCTCAGTAACCTCTTGCATCTTAGTGGCTTTATTGCCTTGCTTGGGGTAAAAGGATGAATAAGAAAATTCTTAACGACTGACTTTAGACTTGAAGAGGTTAAGATTGAAGTGACTATGGAAGAATTCTTCGCAGGAGTCTATTTCATAAAGTCGCAGCCCTTGGGAAGAAGCTGTCAAAATGGAACATCCTTCTTATTAATGGAATACTTTTGTGATGTCAACGAATACTCATCACTTTCTTAATGCTCATTGTAGTAGAGACTTTGTAATCGCAGATACAATTATAATAACGCCAAGGAACAATACTGGTGTTATATGCCATTGAATAACACTCACACTAATAGCATTTACTTGATAATACTCGCTCAAAAAGTAACCACTGAACAGTGATCTGTATATAGAATTGTATAGTGATTAGTATAGAGAATAAAGAACCATATAGTAATAGAGGATAGAGTAGAAATGATGATCAATTAGATGCCATGCTAATCTCTATCTATAAAATCTGGATGTGTGTGTGTGTAACAAATGCATGGCTGCAGTTTTCGACGGATTTGCACCAAAATTCACATGCACATGCTCCAAGTTAGCGGGAAGGCCAAGACTGACTTTGCATTTCCCAATAGTGGAAATAATCGATTTTTTCATGCTTCTACGGCAGTTTTCATGTAGTTTGCAGCCATTTTGTACTGGCCAGAGTGAGAGCCTATTGCTGGCTGCCACGAATAGGCAGGAAGATTCTATTGGCCAGCGTGAGAGCCAACAGCTGACTAACACGAGTGATAACTAGCATGCTAGCATGCAAAAAAAAATCAATAGCTGCATTCGTCACAAGTGGGAAAAGTTTAAATCTGCATGGCACTTTACTCCAATTGGCTCTTCGCTTGCTTAAACTCAACATTGATTCTGATTCTGCAGAACTGGGTTGGACGTGAAAAAGTATTTGTCGTTAACATTCTTTTTTCATTTGGTTTTTCCAGTTACGAGCTTTTTTAAAGCTGATCATTTTGTGTTCATTTTGTTTAGTTCTTTTTTCGTAACAGATTTAATGTTTTGTATAGAGCTTAGAAAAAATTCTCAGTGTGAGATAGGCAAGAAGTAAGGCATGTAGCAACATCAGCATGGCAAAGGGCACTCCTTTAAAGGCAAGGAAAGGCAAAAATATTTTTAAGTCAAGTGATAGCAATTGCTGTATGAGTCGTATGATTTTTGAATCAAGCATGGCCCAGCGTTGCCCGTGCTTGATTTTTGAATCAAGCACGGGCAACACTGGGCCATGCTGCTAGTTCCCATATTTCCATTTCCTTTGTGATCATGTGATTTACTTATTCAAAGTGGAATTGCCTGTATTTGCTCTCTGGTGATCTGTGTTCAAACTCTGGTGTCAGCAGTGACATTTTATTCCTATATGATGAATACAAAGGGAATGAGTATGGTTTGCTCATGTGTACATGACATGGCAGGTTCTAGCTGCAAAGGTCTGAGCTGATGTGACTAGAAAATGTAGCCAGGGAATAGTGGTAGAATAGCAAGAGAAAGTAACTTCAGAGTGGAAAATAATTAATCACTGACAAGGCTATGTAAATTCTTTTGAACTCTGTCAAAGCTGGAAAGCAAGGATTGGGAAAATGCCAGTTGGCATGGCAGCAATACTTAATTTTTGGTCTGGGTCTGGTTTTTGCAAAGATAGACCCTGTCAGAAATATTCAAGCACTTTCTGGAACAGTACAAAGAACTGATCATCTTTCTGAAATCTTTAGTTTGTACATATGAGTTCCACTTTAGATCTGAAATGAGCTTCAGTTCTGTTGTGGTACGATACACCTAATTTACATAAGTGGAGTACCGACCATATAAATATGGGTTGGTACCGGAAGACGGAAAAGATAGTAAGAAGAGATTGAATCCAGAGACTCTGCCCGACTGCGATTTAGTCAACCCATTATGCAGGAACAGTCTTCCCAAGAATATACCAAAACTAACTGTAAATATTGTGTACCTTTTCCTTGTTTCAATACATTTTGTTTACGTACATTTTGTGTTGTATTATTATTATTCCATGCTTATCCAAGTTTCAACAAGTTCCAACAGCTTTTCAAGGCAAAAAGACTCACTGAGAGTATCACTACTCATCAGGACTGGAGAAAATTTAGGATTTGTTCAGTAATGATGAAAAATTTCCAGCTTATTTTTGAAGGTACTGAAAGTTACAAGCCAGATTTAATCACAATTGGCTGCTAGAGATTTTTTTTTTTACAGCTTATCATTCAATGCTGGAATATATTTTCGGATTGTAATAATTTCTTTAGAGATAATAATGATTTTCTAATACGTTCATGACTCTTAACATCCGATTGATTGATTGATTGATTGAGTTCGTTTTTTACAGCTTATCAACACATTGCTGGTCATTTAAAGCCAGAAAATATTTTTACATTGTAATAATTTTTTTTTTGAGATAATAATAATATTAGTCAGTTATGTGCCATGCGTGATACATACTTAGGCGATCATGTATCTTTCAATACATGACTGATGAGACAGATTTTTCCCGCAGTAGGTTGTCATTACTTTCTGCAGTAGACCAGTTTCCATCCAAGGCTATAGAACCCAGTCTGTCCTGCTATTTACCTAGGGGAAGAAGAAGAGGATTCATACCTTTCCCAAGGGTATTAGCATGTAAGTGAATGTAATGGATTTGACTGGAATTTGAACTCGGCTCTCCGATTCCTCAATCCAAGCTACTATCCATTACTCCACTGTAGGGATATGCATCTTACTGATTAACGATTAGCTGGGGGAAGAAGATGTGGATTTATACCCTTCCCAAGGAGATTTGTGCATGAGTGAATATAGCAAAGCTGAATGGAATTCATGCTTGGTTCTTTGATTTTTCATTCCACAACTGTTATCAATTATGCCACCCATACATCCAAGCTTGCAGTACCTGCTATTCCTGAACAATTACCAGTCTAGGTACTGGCCAGGCTTGACATTGCTTAACTTTGATGATTGGATGAGAAATAGTGTTTCAACATATGACTGTAAGCAAATTACACCACTTGTACATCCAAGGTTATAGCACCAGGTGTTCCTGAGTGAACGTCCAATTAGATACTGACCAGGTTCAATGTTGCTTAACTTCAGTGATTAAATGAGAACTAGTATTTCAACACAACATGGCCATAACCTTTGTACACTACTTAAACATCCAATTTTACAGCACCTGATATTCCTGAGCGATCACACATCTAGGTACTGACCAGTCCTGATGTTGCTTAACTTCAGTGATTGTATTAGAGCTGGTGTTTCAATGTGATATGGCTGTAAGCTCTTTAAACCGCTTGCTTATCAAAGCTTACTGCAACTGGTATTCCTGAATGGCCTCCAATCTACATATTGACCAGGCTCAATGTTGCTTAACTTCAGTTATTGAATGAGAGCTAGTATTTCAATGTGATATGGCCATAAGCCATTTACATCTCTTACATATTCAAATCCCTGATCAGTCACTCATGAAGTTATTAACTAGGCTTGATGTTGCTTAACTACATTGAGATGAGAATTGATGTTTTAATATGATATGGCCATAAGCCCTTTACACCTCTTACACATCCAGGCTTACAGCACCTGATATTCACAAGCAGTCACTCATATAGGTACTGACCAGATTCAATGTTGCTTAACTTCAGTGACTGGATGAGAACTGGTGTTTCAATGTGATATGGCTGTAACCTCTGTACATCACTTAAACACCCAAGCTTACAGCACCTGATATTCTTGAGTGGTCACCCTGTAAGCCGGCTGTTAGAGGAGCTTTTTCAAATGAGAGATTGAAACAATAAAAAGACACAATACAAAATAATTGAGAAGAAACTTTATCAAAAATCCCAGGAAGATTGGTAGAAGGAAATCAATTCAAAAGATGGGGATTTAAAATTAAGTGCCTAGTTCAAGGTTGAACATTTCTTGCTGAAAAAAGAAAAGATAAATTATCAATACACACCATATAAAACCAACAATATAAGTCCACCTCACTTTACCATTCACATTTTTAACATTTTTTCAATGAAATACAACAATAAAATAAATCACCATAATAATAGTATTATATCCAATAATGATCATGACAAGAATATTAATCATTGTAATAATAATAGTAATGATACACAGGTCATTCATATTTATATAAATAGGTGTTTGTCTAACAAACAATGGGAGGGATGCAATGTTAATCAAAAGTGTATGGTAAAGTGAATTAAAATAGTAAACAAGTACATAAATTGAATAAATAGAACAATGTAGGATAACCATCTTCCAAGTTAATTTGGAACACTAGGAAATGTTTCTGCTAAAGCATCATGATAGATCACATGACCTCTCTATCAAATATGGATGCCATATTGGAAAAGATTTTTTTGCACAACAGATAATAAACAGTCAAACAAAATTCCCCCTTTTCTTAAAAAAAAAATAAAGGTAGAGAACATTCAGTTGCAAAAATGAAAATAAATAAATAAAACTTTGTAATAGTCACATGGGAAGTTTGTGTTTGTTTTATTTCTTCTTTTTTTTCCTCTTATTAAATATTTTTTCAGTTTTCTCATTTTACAGTTCTACAGTTTATTTGGGTTTTTTTGTTGTTTCTTTTACATGAGAACAATTCTGTTAACACAGAAAAAATTTTTATTTAAAAAAAAATGTAAATAAATAGAATGAAACATATAAAGACATTGAACGATCACAATGTAAGTTTTCCAGAAAAAAAAGAAAAGAAAACCAAAAATGTTTTTTTTTCAGAATTATAAACATTTTAAAATTGAAACATGAATGGTGGGGGTGAGCAGTTTGCTAGAGAAATATAAAGGGACACAAAGATAGATAAAAATAGGACAAAAACACAGATAAATAAAAATGGGACAAAAAAATAAGACAGATAAGAAATAAGTCATGCATCTGATGACAGTGAAGTAATTGTTAGTGTAACAATAAAATTAATGGTATTTTTGGTGGTGGTAACTGGACGTATATCTTACTTCTAATTTGTAATATAATTCATAACAGAAAATACCAAGACTTTCGCAACAGCAGTAACAATTATTAGAATAACAAGAACTAAATGCATATGTTGAATGCATTTACAAAACTAATCACATGCACCAACAGTTAAAAATTTATATATATATATATATATATATATATATATATATATATATATAGATAGATAGATAGATAGATAGATAGATAGATAGAGACTGTGTGAACATAGGAATCAACAACTGCATGGGGACTGTCAGTTGCAATGTGATTTTCAAACCATGTTTTTTTTAAAAATCAGTTCACAAGGCAAATAATGCCACCAAAATACAAAGGGAGTGAAAACAATTGAAAAAAATCCTAACAGGGAACAAGGGATAAACCTCTACTCCTGTTCAAAAGACCAGGGAGAAGTGTGAACTGGATGATAGGCAAACCTGTCTACTAATAATTCATTAGCATATTGATTGATTTATTCATTTCCTATGTCTTATCAACTCATTGCAGGTTATTTAAAGCCAGGAAATCTTTTTAGATTGTAAGAATTTAGAGATAATGATTTAGTGATACAAATCTTATTAATTAACCCATAGCTGGGGGAGAAGAGGTAGATTCATACCTTTCTCAAGGGTATTTGTGCCTAAGTGAATATAGCAAACCCAACTGGAATTAACTTGCCAATTTCAAGTTCCTAGCCATTACACCACCTGCACATCCAAGCTTACATCACCTGCTATTCCTGAGTGGTCACTCATCTAGGTACTGGTTAGGCTCAATGTTTCTTAAATTCGGTGATCATACAAGAACCAATGTTTCAATGTGATACAGCCATAGGCCTAATCCTTTGGCAGGCTCTATATATAGGCTACTGAGGTATTAAGGGAAGTGAGGTGAAGGAAGCAGGAAAGTAACTCTTCCCAGTTCTTTTTTGTTTTGGGCTATTGCTTTAGAATATTCATAGCCAAGATCTTTTGGTTGTCTGTTTTATTCACTTTACTCATTAATTTCGTACATTTATCTTTGGTTTTTAATTTTGTTATATGAAATAAATATTTTTAAGGAATTAATGGATTTTTATTTTTAATCCAACATTATATTTTATTACTTCAAACATTGTATTTTATTCTAGTCAATGCACATGTCTGAGTAGAAGCCCTTTCCTTTTTCCTTTTTTTTTTTAAAAACAGCTTGGGTTACATCTACTGGCCTGTGCATTTGAGAATCTTAATAAAGAAAATGTGCATTCTGACACTATTTGAACCTGTGTTTCTTTTTGTAGGGAAAACCATGGGAATGCAGGTTCGAACCCTGCCAGAGGGCACATTTGAGAATCTTAATAAGAAAAATGTGTACTCTGGCAGGGTTCTTTATTAGAATTCTCAAATGTACAGATCAGTAGATATAATTAACACTGTTAAAAAAAAAAAAAGAAAAAAAAAGGCCTTCCATTGCACACATGTTTATCCACTAAAATAAAACATTTGAAGTAATAAGACATAATAGATTAAAAATAAAAATTTATTAATTCCTTAAAAATATTTATTGTATATAACAAAATTTAAAACCAAAAATAAAAACCAAAATGAATAAATAAAATATTAAATAAATATATAAATAAAACAAGTAATCAAAATGTCATGACTATAAATCAGCCATTCTTTAACTTTTTTCATTCATGACCCCATTTTTCATCACAAGATTTTTCATCACCCCAGGTATTAGCCAACTATACTGAAAATTCATCTGTTGTCACTGCACAAGTCGCAATGGCACCACACGCACATTTTATTACCGCAGTGTTTGCGTGGCACATCACGTTAAATATTGTGTATTTGTGAAATAACATATAAACTAAAATTCAAGTATTTGAATTAAATTTTCAAGACCCCAGCATTTCACTTTGTGAACCCCTTTGGGGTTGCAATTCATAGTTTAAGAAGCACTGCTATAATTAATCTAAGATATTAGCCCACAGCAAAAGAACTGGAAAAGGGTATTTTCCTCTACCCACCAGTGGCTTATACATAAAGTCTGTTAAAGGAATGTTGACACATGATCTGAAGATTGCATAGAAGTATAAAAATGACAGTCACTGTTCAGCGTTGATTCCTATGTCCACATTGTCCATATTTATAAACACTCTCATATTTAGCACTCTTCCCCTATAAGTATAGCAAATTTAAATATATATATATATATATATATGTATGCATGAAAATACAATTTGAACGTAACTTTGACTGTTACAGTTAGATGGGACAGTCTAGGAATTTTTAAGGGAGTAAAAAAAAAAAAATCAACCTAAGTAGGAAAGGGGGTGGGTGAAATAAATTACATTTACAAAAACTGGACAACAGTAATGCTTCCCAATTAGAAATTCTATGTGATTATGATACAGAAAACCTCCTTCTTACATCTGAAAAATACTCCTGGGAGTGTCAACCATTCTTTGCTTTCAGTAGAAACACAACTGTTAGCTTAGATTTGGCATAAGGCCACAAATATTGAGCACCTGGTGAAGATTAACCTTACTAATTGGAAGTAATGATCTATGACACCACAGTGGGCTTACAAGTGGACATTTGGCATTTTTGGAAAATTTCCCAAGTATTAAGTTCTATATATGTAGTCTGAAATTAGACAGTGTCAGGAGTCCAGATCTGGTCTAACCTTGTGCTAATGCCAAGTATTTCTCAAGTTATGGTTGACTGAAGTGAATCAAAACAGTTTTTGGATAGTTGTTTTTTCTGTCTCTTTTTCACTAGGAAAGTCATTAGAACAGACAAGTTTAACTTGACACTCTTTTTCAATCAAGTGGATTTTGGAGCCCTACAACAAAGAATTCAGTCAAAACAATTGTCATAAAATGCCTGCTTTTTTGTTTCTGAGTCTCTCCAACAAACTTCAAATAATGCTAAGAAAACATTTTTTTTTTCTTTTTAGTGTTAAGTTCCCAAAATTTAAAAGAATTTAACTCTGAAAAATGTACAAAAAAAAACCATTGTTCTTGAGAAGATATTTAAGATATACTCAGTTCCTTTCATGCATTAAATTGGTTATCACCTGCCTTTAGCACTAAATGCTGGGAACAAAATCTTTCTGTTGGTGCTGAATCCATTTCTGGGACTGAAAATCTCCAAAATAAAAGCATTAAAGGCTAAATTTGTACTCTTTTCAGGAATTTTTTCTTTGCATTGCCAACCAAAGTTTCTACATCTAAACCCCAATTTTCTCATTGGAAATGTGAAAGTTTTTTTAAAATCTTTCTCTTAAGTACAAATAACATAGAGTTTTATAACTGGGGTGAAAATCATTCAGAGGACTCAGAATCCACAAATATCCACTTGACTCTATTGTGTTAGCCCACTGTAGAGACCAGCTTCTTAACCATTACACCTTGGTGAGGCGCTCAACTGCCAGTGTTTCTACCTACATATTAAAGACATTGGATTCCATAATATTCAGGGTTAAGTGCAACTCTGATTCAACACCTTTATCTCGTTGTTTGAAACATTATAGTAATTATAGTATAATTTCCTCTGCTTAAAACAAGTCAATAATTTAATATGTATCATTTATTTTTTTTTTTGGTACATCACATGACAAATTACAAAGACGTGTGATTTACTTCCAAGTTGTTTCAAAAGCTTAGATTTTTCTAAAAATATTTTACAAGTTGTTTGCAAGAACAAAAGT